AGATTTAATGTTGTTGTAAAACTGCTAGGATCACAACAACACTTGAGTGACATTCGGCCCCTAGAACTAACAGAAATGCCAAACCCGTACATTATGACAAAGATTAAATGTTGAAATTCTGCCAACATCGAAACCTTTGATTAACACTTGGCCGCTTGTACCCAGATAAAGGCTACATCCGCAGATCATAATCCGACGAGATTTCACAAAGATTTAATGTTTTTGTAAACCATCCAAGATTAGCATTTAAAATGGCCATAGCTGCAGTCAGCCTCAGCCAAAACCTATATATTTCTTAAGCAGATGTCTGAAGAAATACTACTATCCGAAACAGAGTGGGATCTAATCCACATAGTTCATTAAGAAAAATTCATAATTACATAAAATTATTATCATATTGTGTTATGTGACGATTGGAAAGTAATACAATGCCACATCATAATTATACATACCTTCGACCCGCTAATCCATTTTGATACATCTCAATAGAGATGGTATGTCAAAACGTGACACTATTCGAATACACACTTTTTTAATACGAGCTTCTCGACATTTAGGCGTTCAATTCACTATAATTCCAAATCCCGAGCCATTTATCTGGAACTAGTGTTACCAAGAGATAATTTATGCCACACTTTAACTCTGAACAAAATCCGGAGTTAAATGCAATAAACAATTTTTTGGACTTTTGGCGGTGTTCTGGTTTTCAAACGAGTGTGTACTGGACCGATTTACGTTGGCTGAACGCGCTCATTGATAACGTGAAGACATGTTGGTGTCTTAATCTTCGTATGTAGGCCCTACAAAGTGAAAAATTTCAACCTCAGATTACCTGACGTTGACTAAATGTTCTTAATAAGCTTTGTTTTACGCGGTAGAACAAGGCTTGCCATGTAATGACCATGTCGCTGTGGAGTCAACAATAGTACATATGGTGTGAAAGCTGCATACTGAACGAGTGCTGCATGATTCTGAATATAGGTTTACTCCTAGTTGAACTGGAATTATGTTCATCAAAATGCATAAGGTTCTGATCATTGAGTACCAATATTTTTTGAGGAAAACAAGGAGGCATTTAGAAGTGATCATTAGTAACTTAATCATCATTAGATATGCTTTAATCCTACTTACACTGATATTTTTCTTCGGGAAATATTAAGGAACTTATGAAATGAGGGTCTAGGAGAAACTTTCAGGGCCTGACTTTTTAAAATAGCATCGGAATCGAAAGTAAAGTAGTCAAGAGTATGAGCTAACTGAAAAATATTTTTGAAACTGAGCCCTGACTTAGTCAAAGATTTTTCCAATTGCAACTGTTATATAAAGATAATGAAGCTCGTTCATCTCAAGCTTTCGAATAAAAGTATGTTACAACCTTTTTCGATCCTGCTGTTCAAACCTAACACGCTTTCATTTGAAACCTTGAGATGAAGGAGCTTCATTATCGTTTAAATATTTCTAATTGGAAAAATTATTTTTATATTTTTACTTCATTTTTGGAGCAGCTAAATAAAAGCTTTTTATTTTAATTATTTTTTACTTTTTAGTATCTATGATGTCAAATAACTAGATCGGTTTTTTGTTAGTTATTAGGACTCCATAAAACTTCGTACTTTGTATCATAAAATTTCCGCAGTTATAGGTCATATAACGATGATAAACTTAGATTGATATTGTTTGCTTACCCTGTTTGTCTCATTGAGCCAGTTTATTTGATGCCTATATAGCGGTGTCGATGGAAACTTTGAATGGCTATTCAGCGGAGATCACCAGATTTGATCTAAAATGACATCACTTCCCTTATTGTGCTTTCCTTATCAAGCTGTTTTTATTTGACACCCACAATATAGAGACGACTATGGATATTATTAATCGCCATTGGATTCAGAATCAGACATCGCTTGCTTGTTATGTTTCGCTTATAAAGCCTTTTAATTTGATAGCTTTAGCACCGGGCTGACTATGTAAGTCATAAACGCCATCTTAGGGCGGTCGTCTTATTGTATTTAGAATGACGTCACTTTGCTTATTGCCTTTATATTTGATACTAATATTAAAGGAGTAACTGTGAAAACTGTAAGTCGCCATTTTGTGATGGTCGCCATATTGGGCTTGGAATGACGTCACTATGCTGATTGCATTTCTCTCGTCGATCCCTTCTATTTGATACCCTTGTCGTAAGAGTGACTATGAAATATGTGAATCGCCAATTTGCAGCGGATGCCATATTGAATTTTTTAATGACGTCACTTTGCTTATTATGTTTATCTCATCAAACTCTTCCATTTGATACCCATATCATAGGGGTCAATTGATTAAGGTTAACTGGTTCCAAAATCAGTTCCAAGACTTAGTCCACACATAATACTAACATACAAACAGGCCAAGTTAAATATAAAAGCTTGTGATAATGGGGCATCATATGAGAAAAGCGGGTCTAATACTATCTGTTATAAGCGTTACATACATGATAAAACAAGATATTTTCAAGCTGTGTTTGAACACCTAAAACTTTGTTCTTGAAAATTTGCGCTCTTGTTGAACAGATAGATCAATCACATAAAATATATAACTTTAAAAGTAAAGCATAGCAAACAAACTTCGACCATTACTGTTTAAATCTTTATGTTGTTTGTTTTTATCTTGACCATCTCAACGATTCTAAAAATTGAGGGAAAACTGGAGAACGGTACATGTCCAACTTGCTTGTTATTTTCTTTCAACTTAATTGGGTACTTCAAATATGAGTACAATAGTTCGTAACCTTGAAACCTCCCATGAGATTTCCACATTTTTAGGCCAATTAAAAAAGTTTTCTATTTAAATGACGTTATAAGGTATACCGAAATATATTTTCTACTAGCTGACCCGATAGACGTTGTCCTGTCTTAGCTATGAACTGAGATGAGTAATGAATAATAAAACGGTAAATGCATTCATTATAGGTGACTGTGTAGTGAAGTGTTTGTACCGCCATCTGGCTATCAAAATGTGGCAGCACTGTCATGTTCCATCAATTTACCTCGAAAGTAGGCATACAATTATGTGGAGTGAATTTTGTTGCGCCAAATGATGTCATTTGAAAGCAATTATTGTATTGCTGGATATGAGTCGAAAAATGTATAGAACCTGGCCCATTTCTGGAAACCAATGTATGTAGTGGCTCCGGTGGTGGTACCAATGGAGTCAATTTGTTCTTTCCACTGACGCAACAGAATCCAGGGGCATAATTTTCAAACTAGAAAGCCTTGCCATGTGGACTCACAACGTTCATCGGTCCTAGAGCAACGATTTGTTGTGAACTGTAATCGATTGCCACGTCATAATTGAATGCATCTCGATTGAGATTAAATGCGATACTTCTACGTTGTGGAATTTCAGTCCTCCGATCCGTTCAACTTCATTTCTCGCTTCTCGTTGCTCGTTAGATTAACTTCTTCGTATATATTTTTTACTTGCAACATTGCGCGTTCTGCGACCTAGGTTGGTACGTCTAATTGGTGGCATTTTGAAGAAACATAATTTCAATATCAGGCGTGATTGCGGTGAACTAACTTCCACCCTTGATAAATAAAGCAATTTTTCGTTGATAAACACTGTTAAGCGATAATCGGAGGGGAGCTGTCAAGTTCAAAATGATAGAGTAGTGAAAGTCAATTAAGCAAAAGCAACGTATTACACTTAAATATTTGCCATTAAATTTTTTGGAGAATTTTAGTGGATTTTTTATTATATCCTTATCATATTTTAAGAGTACAGGAATTACTTCCCATTGATTTTCCAAGGCGTGTGACCTTTTGTCAGTGGTATCTTCAAAAAGTAACACAAAATCCGCAATCTGAATCAATCAATAATTCTGTTCACGGACGAAGCCAATTTTTGTCGAAATGCCATTCAGAATTTCCACAATAATCATTTGTGGGCAGAAGAAAATCCCTATGCCGTAACCGATAACCATTTCCAACCTCAATTTTCTTCAACAACAGTTGCCTTTGCTGCTTGATGATGTTCCGTTAGTAATAAGAAACAATATGTAGTACATGCATGATGGTGCACCAGCGCACCAGCGCATTTCAGTGTAGCGGTTCGTAATAATTTACAAACTGTTTATTCAAATTGTTGGATTGGCCGCGGTGGGCCACAAGAATGGCCACCAAGGTCCCCAGACCTCAACAGTTTAGATTTCTTTTTGTAGGGCTATCTTAAGACACTAGTGTACACAAGTCCCATTAACATTGTAGAGGAATTAAGAGAAAGAATAGTTGCAGCTTATGTTAGAATAAAAAACACTCCAGGGATATTTCAACGGGTGCGCAATTCCATGAGAAGGAGGGCGGACGCATGGCATACCATTTTCAACAATTTTTGTAATCATTTCGTTGGTTTTAATGTTATGTTTATGTTACCAGTTGTTGTTATTCATTACCCCTAATCTGTTTAATTTTTCCAATTAAATTAATAATAATTTTGCAAGTCAGACAATAGAACGGTTTTTATTTTTTTTACTCAAAAATGGCGCATCAAAGGAAAACAATTCAAGAGAGATCATTTGTTTTAAATTGGACGGAGAGCTTAAAAATAATTTTTATTTGGAAAAAATCCAATGACGTACCATTTTTTTCTTAAAAAATATCGAAGTCAATACCCGTACGCACGCCACTGTTAAAGCTAAAAATTACTTTTGCATTGAGAAATATGCAACTTTATTAACTTTCACTACGTACTAAATATCAGTGAAATATCTGAAGCGGTTCTGAAAATATTAATTAATTTCCATTTTTTTTCCTAAAACTTCAACACCCCGAGTTTTGGTAGGGAAACATTTTGGACGATAGTTTATAAAGCAAACTAAGACTAATTTTTCATGTAGATTCACACCCTCAAATATTCGCATATAATTAAGGAACACCCTGTATATATATATATATATTATTTCTTGGTTATTTCTCAACATTTGGGTTATTATTGGAACAGCTTTAACTCAAAGTAAAATGAGGAGGAGAAGGTGGTATTTGGCTCCCAAATATACTCAGTATCTACAACGAAGTAATTCTTATTCATCGACTTCGTATCGTAGTTTCCTAGTTAAAAGACGCACCATTAAGTACAGGAAAGGGCATTTGCGTAATCAGCCTATAAAAAAATTTGTCTATATTGTTGAGTAATATTGGAATAATAATTTAGACAAATATTTATTTAATTTATTGGATTATACTAACGTTTGTACAGTAATAACAAGTTACCTACTATAATAAAATCCACACCCTTTTTCTAAGAAAATATCGAAAAATAGCGCAAAAAAAAATAATTTATAATTTTTTTACTTTTATCACACCTTTAAAAATTTTAAAAAATTCATGTGTTGATCTACTGAAGACTCAACATATGTATTTCTTTATCATAACGTGGGTCAATAGGTTTTACTAAGGTAATATTAAAAAAATTTAATTCTAAAGAGGATTGAATTTCTAGCCAAACATTTTTTAATAAAAATTTGGTCCATGTGCCTTTAATTTTTCACAGGAAAAGTAAAAAACCTTCTAATGTGGTCAAAATATTTGATGAAAACGAAAAATCTTCTGATTTAATAAAACGGTTTCTGAAGCACTTAAGTGAGTCAAAAAAAGGGAAAGAAAACGTGTTTTTATTCTCAATAATCCTAACTGGGTGAGAATTTCAAAGTGATAATGATTGTTCATTAATTGCAAGTGGCAATTGACATTTAAACAAAAAACTCAGTAGTACTCTAACAGAAGCTTCCATTGATAACTTGCTCTTCGGAGTAAGTCTGACCAAACAAGTCATTTCTAAATAGAAATCGGATAAATATGGGCAGCAACTGAAGGCCAAAAGACCGGACAACGTACTGACAGCGACAGCTATCACCGACTATTGCGAATGAAGTTCCTAGATCAGCAAGGAGACTGGCGCGTATTCATCATGAATGGGGGAGGGATCAATTATCATTCATATAGTGACCGGTTCAGCACTCTGTACCTGCTGAATCTATTAGTCTATCTATGAACTATCGACCTCTCTCAATTGATCAGCTGCGGTGTTCTCAGTAAAAAATTAAGCTAACTAAGAATCAGCGCCTATCCAACGTTTTCTTGCCCCCAAGTCTGATGGGTCAACAGGTTTGATTCCTAACCTCAAGACACTTAATCTGTTTACAGGGATAGAACACTTACGTTAAAAGTTTCTTGAACTGTGATCAGACTTCTCCGTAGAGATACTTTCTTAACGAATCTGGTTTTGAAATATGCACAGATTTTGATGCTCATCAGGAAGAGTCATAAAATATATTTCAGATTCATATTCAAGCGGCATCTCTTCCAATACGATGCTAAGCCGTTTAGGGTTAATTGTGCCTCTCATATGTTCACAATGTTAATAAAACCATTTCTAGCATTCCTTAAGGAAAAAGGCACATTTCCGTCTGTATTTCCTTCTGTTCGATAATATCAATATGTTTGCCAATCCAAGTGATATGACCATACGTCAAAGTGACGTGACGAGCGAACACCATTTTTGGTCGATTCCGAGCTTGAATACTTAATTAGTGCCGAAACTTAGCTGTTCTGTAAATAGTTTTAGATATATCAAGTCTGAGCAGGAGCCCCGTAACATGTATGAGTGTCTCCCAAGGGGGCTTGCCCCCTGGAAAGAAAAGGAAGGAATCGGAGGATTCAATGAATGCAATTATTGAAGATAATTCCCAGGTCGGTAATGATAATACAATTGACTATGATCTACAATCAGGAGTAATGCAGGTAGAACTTTCAACAATATTATCTCCCAAAAAAGCAGAATGACCTCTTTTAACATATAAGCAGACTGATAAGGGCCCCTATCATGTTGATCTCGAAAACAATGAACCAAATTTCTCAGGTAAATTAAATCTAGTTAAGGTTGGTGAAACTGTTCTCAAAAATATTCCTGAGGTTGACAATACGATTAAAAGAATTGAATCGATTGGACGCAATAGGTAGTAAGGATTTTGTTCAAAAATCCATCAGCAGCAAATGTCCTGTTAAATAAAACGATTTTATTCAAAACTATCAATTTAGACGTTTATATTCTCAAATTTATTTTATATAGACAGGGTGTTATTTCTGTGGACAAAGACTTATCAGACGAATATTTGTTGGAAAGGATCAAACCTTTCGATTCTCACTGCATTTTCTCAGTGGATTCGGTTAAACACATGCACCGGAGATCAGATCAAAATGGTGAGATTAAATATCTACCTAAAATAAGGTGGTTGTTTCCTGTAAAGCGCAAGAATTGCCTAACCGTGTCGCTATAAATCACGTTCTTTTTGATGTAAATCATTATATACAGAAGGTAATTTTGTGTCATAACTGTATGCGTTATGGTCATTTGCGTAAGCAATGTAGAAGCAATCCTAGGTGTGCAAAATGTCACGGAGAACATGTTACTAGCTCATGCCACAACGACTCTTTAGAATCAAATGTTTAATTTGCGGTGGCAGTCACTATTCATTTGAAACCTCAAAATGTGATGAATTTGAAAGGCAAAAGGCAATTAAAAAGCATATGGCAATGACTAATTCTTCTTTTAGAGACTCAAACAATGCGGTGCCAAAAACCACTTATGCTTCAGTTACAAAAAATAATCCCATTACGCCTCAAGAAATCAATAGTTCTAATCTTCCATTTCAATCATCAAACACTCAAACATCAATAAACAATCCAAATGCGAATTTGCACTTTACACAAAGGTTGTTTAAACCTTTGAAACGGAACTCGCCTTCCTCGCCAGATTTGACAGAAGAAGCTAAGAGACAAATTGTGAGTCAAATAAATACTCCACAGGTATCCGGGGGTATCATCACTAATAATCCCAGTTGCTGTGTACATGAATTTAATAGGAGAGATGAGACGTTCATCCAACATGTTTCAGAATTGGTTATATTTGTTCTTACAAATTTTAGAGAAACAAACATCAACAGCTTGAATAAATCAACTATAAATAATTTCATAAGAGAAAGATTAAATATAGACAAATAAGTTTAAGCATTAAGAAAATTACAGTATATTTTTAATCATTTTAATTTGGAACACGTTTTAAAAGAACAAAATGTGGACATTGCACTTTTGTCTGAAACCTGGTTTAAAATGAATACATATATAAAATTTAAAAAAACGTTATCCGTCAAGACCGGATAGCACTGTAACATACCTTTAGCAGACCCATCAACAGATGATATCAAATGCGAGAATTTTTCTATATTGGATAGAGTTGGGTTGTTATGAATTAAGGGATCGAAATCATCAATAAATGAAATGAAGGATTTAATATCACCATTAAACCTCATCAGTTTTAGTTCAGGTAGTTTCATTCTGGGTGGAACATCGGATATTTCAGGCCGAGTCTCAGACAACTCTTTATTAACCTCAAACAAATCATAATAAATGGATTTAATGGAATAGTAATTGTTATCAACATCAATGCGTACTTTATCCTCAACAAGAAACCCCTCATCTTGGTCAGGATCTAACAAACCAATTATTCTGTTATATCGTTTATTGAAACTTTCATATGACGACTCTATATTTTTATAGCTTTGTATGATCTGCGAATGTAAATTAAGGTCGGTTTGAGCCATTTTAGCAATGTCAAGGCACTCTGAAATCTTATATATTTGCATTTTGCGGATATTCTTTTCCCTTTTAATTTTGTCAGCCATGGTTGTGAAACACGACAAAATGAACATAAGTAACTGTCCTGTGGTTACCTACAGACCCAAAAAGTGAATCTAATGAATTAATGAAATTACTGAATATGAATCAAAATTGACAAAATGCTCTAGAACAGGGTGATGAAAGACGAATCCGGATCAAAAATATGTTAAGAGTATTCGAGTGGACTGTATAGCGGCTGGTTCAAGAATGAAATGTGGTTGTCGCCTACCTTTGATCCGGTATTCTGTCTAATACTGGTTCGTATTCCTGGCCTAGCGGTGATGCAGGAGCGTGAAGATTGCGGGTGTGGGAGCGGTTCTGACTCTATGCATTTGCTGTGTATATGCGGTTTCTGACTATATGCGTTTGCTGCGTAGACACGTGGTCTCACTGTATGCGGTTGCAGGGATATATGTTCTCACGGTATGCGGGTTGCGGCATATCGGCGTGGTCTCTCTGTAAGTTAGTATCTCTCATCCTTTTATTGTCCTACGGCGAGCGGGGTAGGCAAGCGGCAACTCATACCAGCCTTAACATATAGCCAACCAAATATCCCTAACATGCATGATAAAAAAAATCTTATAAACAAAGTAGAAAAAAGGAAAAATAAGTAAAAAGTACTGGTTAAAAAAAATCTTAAAAAAGAGCAATATGTGTTCGCATACACTATGTAACTATAATAGAAATAATATACAGTGGTAATATTAAGTAATGGATGTTCAATTATCTATTAAAGCATAGCATTATACTGAACATAAGGATCTGGCCAGTTGGTCATCGACCAGCGCCATTAACAGAACAAAAAAAGTAATATGACTTACACTTCAGGTGCATTGAGTGCAGTATCCCTCGTCACGATACTTGCAGTAGGTCGTCAAGTTTGACACACCCTGTATACACCACCGAAAACTGCAGCGATGGCATCGTAACAGCAACGAAGAGCACGTATTTAAGTGGCTATTAATTATGTTTAAGAGGCACCCTTCTTCAAATTAAAGAAGTCAAATTATGCGGCGACAGAACACAAAGGTAGATTTCGCCAGCTTGTTAACTAAATTGCTTTACTTTATTTCGGTGGAGGCCTAGATCTGATGCTCGCCGACGATAACCTAAATTAATAGCTGGGGACACTGGCGTCACGACAGTCGCGCTCGGGAGGGTAGTTTTTGTTTCGGGAGCCGATCTACAGACTGATAGTCGGGAGAAGGCGAGAAATATGTGAGTGTTAATCAAACTGATTTATTTTTCGATAAATTGTACATTTTTCAGACTGAAGGCAGACACCTAAGTATAACCAAGATACCGCGACAAGTACATGGATGATTCTTGGACTGCATGAGAAAACGGAATATCGGTTCAGGAAAGCTTCTTCACCTTCTCGAAACCCTAAGAACAAAAGAGTGGATATACTGGACTTTTAACGAGGTACAGAGTTCGACAAGATTAGAATGAGAAGCGGAAACCTTAGATATCCAACTCACGGTGGCGGCAGTATCATAAAAGAAAGCTCAGAGAAGAAAATTATCAATCGACCGTTGACCTGACATGAGCTTAAAACAGCCTGTTAAGGTCGCATGTCTTTTTTCCACCTCCTGTTTGAAGCAGTATTCTAAATCCTTTTCATCTGATTATTTTATGGGGTGTGTTTAGATGACTAAAAGACAACGTTATCATTTTTTTGACAAGGTATTGTGCATTTTTTCTTCAATCGTAACTTGATAATAAATACTTCAAATTTCACTTTTATAGTAGGATTGACCGGGTGATTAGTTTTATTCTTATTACTTTTTCTCTTCGAAAAATCTTTGAGTTTTCTTGAAACCCCATTTTGCAGCAAGTTGAGTTTTCAAGACAAACAGAGATGTTTTGAGGAGAGAAAGTGACCCGCTCATTTCTTGAAAGTGGAGTATTCCCATACAATTTTAGAGCTGTATCGTTATTTGTTAACAAGTTAAGAATACTCCTACAGACAGGCTGTTAAAAAAGGACGTTCGTGCCAAATTATTAGAATCTTACTTAATGTAGTGTGAGTAATGTAATCTACCGCGACGCCTACAATATCGTCAGTCATTCTTGCCTGATTCTGGAGACTTCTGATGAGAAATTCTCACCAAGTAAGTGTCTACACATTGCAGACAATATTGATATACATATAGTCGAGATATAGCTGATTGCATTCCAGGCAGTAATAATATCCAGGTATACCGCCAGGAGAAATACTTTAGGTCCCTAACGTATTTCTTCTGTCCAGTTCTACTCCAGGTATGTTTGGCTATTTGAATCTTTATTTCCAAAATGCTGTACAACACTACAAATCTTATATGTCATGCAGAAAGGAGGCTATGTGTAACTGAAGCTGAGCTGAGTCTACTCCACAGTTGTGGCATGTATTGATCGACCAGCCAAAGATTGCTAGGGACGAAAGGGGGAAATGCGATGAAAAAACCTTACCATTAGACGATTTTATATGGAGTCATAGGCGGAGATCGGAGAGACTTGAATTATTAATTGAATTTATATTTTATTACAACTGGTAGTATTAATATTTTTTTGCGATTCATAATGACGTGATACCAAACATACATTATAAGAAATAAATATACACAAACACTGAATATTGAGAACAAAATAAATATATTTTTTAGGCAACAAGTAATATTCCTATGTACGCAT